TATAACTTTTGATTTCACTCGCTGAATTATATAATAATAAGAAAAATTAAGGTTAAATTACTTTTATGACTGTATTGACTGAAGTAATGCACCAAACTCATCGTGAAATATAAATTCGACGCATTAGCCCCTTTCATTTTAAATATGTGTCAAACCCCTCTGTGTTATGTTTATTTATGTGCAAAATCCATTCTATGAGCAAATTTAATTGCCAAAAAATGAAAATTTATTAATTTTTTTTTGTATAATTTGGAAATTTCAACAAAGTTACATGCACATTCAATCATGTTATTAACAAAAGTGAATTCAAAATTGTAAAATTTGTTATTAGAGGGGTTTTGCGCTACTTGAATAATTATAACACATGAGGATTTGACACATTTTTTAAATCACATGGGCTAATACGCCGAATATATATTTCACGAGTGTGTTTGGTGCATTAAACCCGAAGTTATTGTAAAGAATCATTTTAGTTGTTTTATCATATAGATTACCTACATTGCTCCATCAGCCAAAATTGTTCACCTTGAAGACCTGATGCGTAATAAGTACGACCAAGCATGGACGTCATCGTCACTCGGTCCTCAAGACTTTTAAGGGTCACCGGGGGCGCACTGGACACCACATGACGTGCGGTGGTCTTCCAAGCGCAGGACTCTACCTCATGCTGAGTCGTTTCCAAGGTGGGCAAGATACTAAACAGAAAAGGTAAATCTTCCCAAGGCCCCCATCGACGTCTCCGGACTCTCTAATGTTGGACACACGCTTAACGCATGCACTGTCTATCGAGATTCCCCAACCCTTACAATCGACTAACTCATGTGCAAGTGCCGTTCTCATGGAACTTTCCCCCTCTTCGCCAACCGGGCCCTGACCCACCCTGGTTTTAATTTTGTTTTGTATTTTTTGGATAAAAATATGTGTAAAAATTTATCTGAAAAAATTCTATATACCGGCACACTCCAGATCCTGTCATCACATTATATTCTCTCACACATTCTCGCGCCCCAAAAAAAAGGATGACACCCCATCCCTGAGGGGCCCCCAACACCGACCGGATGACACGATGGGAGGATGTAAATTGGACTATAATCACAATCTGACAGATAGAGAGTGGGGTCCTGTCCCCGGTACTTGCAGAGGCCCTGTGCATTTTTCAGCATAGTAACCCCGGCCCTCATCACAGTTGTCGGGATTCGAACCCGATACCTAACCCTTGTGGCACTCCCATGCTACCAGTTGAGCTACGTCCACCGGTAAAACTAAGGTATGGGTAAACTTTTTATAGTGACTAGCTCCACCGCTTTCACGGCCCCTTACCCTAGAAACCCAACTTTGGCTTGGCCCTACGGGTTAGTATACACCGTTTGGCCCTACCACTTGAAGGGTTTTTTGGGGGAGCATAGTTTCACTGGTGCTAGTGGGACTCGAACACGAGACCTCTCCTATGCAAGGATAACCTCACAACCAGTTAGGCTGGAAGTGATGGTTTTTTTTTCTCGTGCCCCAAATCACTCCTCATTAAATAAGACCGTCCATAAATTCTCAGAGCAACTTCAAAGAGAACCACTATCTATTTAGCTAATTTGTATGCCATATTTTGTGAGTTGTGGTCAAAATTTATCTATACATCTTTTAAGTTATAAAAGGTGTATATCTATGTTACTATGTAGAGAATATTACCCGAAATAGGACTAAAAATGTTTAAAAATTCCAAAATAGGACTATCATGTTTTTATTCCCAAAATAAGACTAATTATTGTCATGTTTTGGTAGTACCATGCTTCAAACATGGCAGTATTTTCCAAACATTGCAGTAATTACTCCTATTTTGTGAATAAAAAACATGACAGTTTTATTTTGGAATTTTCAAACTGTTTTAGTCATATTTGAGGAACTTTCCCTATTATGTACGAAGTATATATGAACGGATGTATGTGTATTTATGGACGATCGTCCTTTGGTGAGAATGATAATTAATATGTAAAAAAATATGCACTTTTTGTTCTTCAAGATGCATCTGTTAAGATTCGGGATGCCATCCTACAAGGTCAACTTGTTAAGAGGAGTAGCCCGAAATTTAATATAGCACTCTCATGCTTCAAATTTACCGGTGTGGGACTTTATCACCCCTCCTCACGACTAGACACATCTTGTGTGCTTTGTGGTTTCAGACTTTCAGCTAGTAAACGCCTAAACGGCGACGATGAAAAGGTCAGCGCAGTGACGTTATGGTGAACAAATGATTGTCCTTTTAATATAAAATTATTAAGGGAAATCCTGGAATAATAGTACAAAAATTGTAAAAATACGGAGTATAAAATAGGAGTATAATGTTTTACTCCATATCGAGAAATAGTAGTATCAAATTTGGTAAATAGAGGTATATATGCTACTATCATACTGACAAGTGTATATTACTGTCATATTTGGTATTATCACGTAATAAATGTGTCACTATGCTGCCAAAAGTGACAATACTTTCAAAACATGGATAGTTACTCTATTTTGGGTAAAAAAACATAGTTCTCATATTGTGAAATTTTAAAACCTTTTTATTCTTATTTAAGACAATTTTTAATTAATTAATTAAAGAAATAATTGATCAAAATAAATTTAAAACATAAGGAGTATTCATGATTCAAAAATAGAACTAAGTATATTTTCTTATCCAAATAAGACCTATTCAGACCTATTAAAAGAATACAAGAATAAAAAACTAATCAGTGAATGCATGAGCCTCCCTATTAAAAGATTGAATAAAAGAATAGAAGAATACATGACTTTTAGGAAGAAAAATGCTATATATTTGAGAAAATTTGCTATATTATACTCCAATCTTGAGAGTTTTCTGATTATAATGCATACAATTTTTGTCTTAGTCCAATTTAACCAATTTGTTATTTGTATTGTTTGATTTGGGGAATAAATAAGAAGAGAGAAATAGGTGTATGTAGAATATATAGTGGCGAAATATAACAAATTTATGATTGATTTGTATAAGAGACATGTAATAATGTAGAAGCTACGGTGTATGTATACTGTATCACTACTGGTATATTCATCAAGCATCTAATATTCTAATCTATCTATTAAAAATAAACTATTCAGTCCATGAGGGAGAAGAGTTCAACTTACCAGGTACAGAGGTACTCGTATTAGATGCAAACATATATACTAGTATACTACGTATTAAATAGGTATTACAAAAATCCTCTATTTCTTTCCACTCCATTTTTATCAATATACTACGTATATTTCTATTAAACGAATGAAATTATACGCCTATCACGTGTGTCCCTCTTCATGATTTTTTGCCCTTCCTATTTGTTTAATTTTCAATTATTTCAAAAAGAGAATATTTTAGAAAATTGGACATTTAATCTCATAATTATATATAGTTGTGCTCATAATAACTTACGAGTTTTTTCCCAAAAATATTACTAAATAAAACATATTTACACAAGTATGACTAATAATTACTACAATGTAGTGTCATGATAATTTAAGTTAAGTTGAACATAAGTTACTTTTATTGCATGACTATTTTAGTCATTAGTCACATTTTTGTAAACAATCTTCAATTTAGTCATATATGTGTAATTATTTCATAACTTATTCATTAGTAATAGATTATATACACTAGCCAACAAATATGTTTATTTAAGGACTTCTTTCTCACAATATACAATTCCATGTTAAAAATATCATGTCTGCAGTAGCTTTTCCTTCTACCGAAAGGGGTACAATCCGGTACATATCCCATTACGGTGAAAATATATACTCTGTACATTGTATATCATGATAATGAATAAACTTATTACGTATGTCCGTCTCAAATTGTTTTGCAAAATCAATATGTTTTGGTCAACCAATGTTAAAGTTAAATATTGCCATAATTAGTTCAATTTTAAATATCTCTATAAAGTTGCAAAATCACAATTAAAATTTGATTAAGAATTGAAGTTTTTTATACATCATTGACTCATCGTGGCCATCGACTTTGATTAAGAATTGATATTCTTAATTAAATAAATAAAATGAATTTGACTAACTCAAAAAGTCAATTTCGCAACACAATTTGGGACGAAAGGAGTACTTAATAGGCATCACAATTCACATGTAGGTAAATGAAATTATATGAGTAATAACCAGAAGATATATGATTGGTCTCAAAATATATGGAGTATCCCAACGTGTTCACGACGAAGCATGTGGATGTGATAAATCATCTGGTTTTTCTCATATTTTTAGATAGGCGAATCCTACTCATTTATCATGCTAACGTACTCACCCTGGAGCACGTCACGTGCTGCATATATTTACCCCATTGCATGAATTGTAGGATTAAGAGCTACGAGACTGTTTGGTAATAGTGAAATTAGTAGAATCGGTTGAATATATTGGAATTGATGAAATTCTTATTGAAATAGTTGAATTGACGGAATCTAATGAATGGCAGGAAAAAAATTTTAAATACATGTTATTGATAAAATAAAGAAAAGTAAGATGAAAAAATAGTTAAAATGATCATCTATACTAACTTCACCCAATTCATACTGTAATTTAAGTTTCACCTTACTTGTGTTCATTATTACAAAATTTAGAACGTGAAACAAAAATTATGTGTTTGATAAAAACTTTATTTATAAGACTGATAAGTTTTGAAAATAGGAGTTACCAAACGAGCTCTAAATCACCAAATTTCTCCTAAATATTTTCGAAGGTAGATTTATTTACGAGTAAAGGGTCATATTGGTCCTCGAAGTTGCATAAAAGTGTCAAATAAGTCATTATATAGAAGGCACTGTCCGGCCGTCGCCATTTGCGACGGTTCCCGGTGGAATTTTTTGATGAAACTTTTTTAGCATCTTTTATTAGCATCTTTTACTCATACCAAATTTCAGCTAAAACGTCAATCGGGGGAAGACATTCATTTACACCTTCACCCTCAACTCCTCACCCTTGGCAAATAGTTTAGCCATTAAATTCATGTCTTGAGTAAAGGTACATACTTCACTATTCATGAGTGTAGCTTGACCTCTCCTCCTCAAACCATAGCTTTCAGTTATTGGTTCATTCATATCCATCTATATATCTGCTTCTTGAGACCAGAGAGTTTCCCAGCTCCATATTCTCCTGGGATTTTCTAGGTCTATACAAATATATACACATACATACATATACATACAATCTACACACCCCACACATATGGTTATCATCTGAGGAAACAAAAAACTTCAGCAGATATATCGACAACAAGTTAGAGGGAGGGAGATAGATATGGGACAGCATTCATGCTGCAATAAACAAAAGGTGAAAAGGGGGCTATGGTCACCTGAGGAAGATGAAAAGCTCATCAACTATATTTCATCCTACGGCCATGGCTGCTGGAGCTCCGTTCCAAGGCTTGCTGGTATGGTATATACTTCGTACGTACTATGTATACATCTATCATTATTATTTAGTTAAAATATTACTCCTCCGTCCCGAATTATAAGATACTTTTTGGTTTACAATGACCGATGATAAAGCAAATGGATCCCTGTCTGCACTCAATTTTTTTTAGAAAAAAAAATTACATATTCAGAAACTACATTAAAATCGCTACAAAACCTGCAAAAAATTATTCAAATTTCATAAACTTTTGATATATAAAGTATAAGATTAAAAGTGATTTGTGTTGACCACGTGAATAATAAAGATATCTTATAAAATGGGACAGAAGAAGTACTTATTTCATGTATATTTATCATATACTCGTATTATGTATTGTTTACTAGATATATCCTTATAATCATATCATATATTACCTCCGTCCCTATTTGATGATCATGTTTCTTATTCAGTTAGTCAATACAAATCATTCTTAATCTCTTACGGATCGGAGTACTTTATATATCAAACTTTTGACAAATTTCATTTTTCTTTTTGCGACTTTGTAATATTTTTAATTTAGTTTTTGAATATGTAAATTTGATTTGCTAAAAGTGATTTAAGTGAGGACATGAATTTGTTAGTTTTATTATTGGTCAAACCTCATAAAACGCAATCAGGTCATCAAATTGGGACGTAGGGAGTATATTAATCAAATTATTCATAGTTATTCTAATTTTTTTGATCGGATTTAATCTTTTGATGTTGTGATGATCGACCATGCATCTGTACGTAGGGCTGCAGAGGTGTGGGAAAAGCTGCAGGCTGAGGTGGATAAATTACCTAAGACCTGACCTCAAACGTGGCAGCTTTTCTCCTCAGGAAGCTGCTCTTATCCTCGAACTCCATTTTATTCTGGGAAACAGGTTCATATTCTAATCATCATGTACTAGAATATTTATTATAAACTGAAAAAATTTATCTTGGTAAGTTAAACCAAAAGAAAACACATTTCCTTAATTAAATATTAAGACTAGAAATCTAGAATGAGTTTTTAGGACTCACTACTCGCTTTTAAAGATTTTTTTATCATGACTTTATAAACCAAGTTTTGGGGATATATGATAGATCAGATAAAAGATACTCCGTAATACTTATCATTAGGCTTGAATTTTGTGAACAGAAGTGTAAGATGAGCAGTAGAAGTTTAAGGGCACTTTTTTAATTTAGGGAAGAAGAAAATATACTATCCTCCGTCTCTTTTTATTCGCAACATGTTAAATTTTACACTATTCACATGTTTTACTTTGACTACATTTTATATTATTATTTTATGAAAATAATTTTTTTAAAATTATATTGTTCAATTCATCTCATTACAAATTTTCAAAATCTAATTTTTAAATATTTTTTACTAATAGGGATTAGGATATAATTACGGTCAAAGATGTGTGTTGGCAAGTGTGAAATGTTGACCGTTGCAACTAAAAAAGAACGGAGGAAGTATTTATTATTCTTAGGGTTGTTTTGAGAGAGAATTATTATTCTTAAATCTTAAGGTTATGATTATTAAAAGTTTAACAGGTGGGCTCAGATAGCAAAATATCTACCAGGAAGAACGGATAATGAAGTGAAGAATTTCTGGAATTCAACCATCAAGAAGAAGCTCATCTCTCGTTCCTCTAATCATCATCACCTTTCCACCACTATTAATAATACTAATAATAATAATCAGCATATCCCAAATAATAATAACACCATGCTTTTCGATCATAATCCAAACCTCTACACTAATCTAATCCCAATTTTAAACCCTAGTTCTAGTCTCATCCAAACCTCCCATCATGTGCTGGATAATAATAATGGTGATGATAATAATAACCCTTTATTATTCATTCAAGCTGATCAAGAAATGATGAACCAAGATTTGGTACTTCCTATGATGCAGCTGCCAGCCTCCAATGATCCCATGTGGTTTCATGGATTTCAACCTGATCAGAACCCTAGTTCATCCAAACAAGAAAGTTCATATTCCATGTTTGGCTGTAACGATACCCCCCACATTTTCGCTACCGACCAGGATCCCATGATGTTTCCTGCAATGCCTAAGCTTAGTGAAGTCGGTAAAGATGATATTGAGTGTTGTATGCCTGTTCTTCCTTCTTCCACTTCTTCTACAAATAGTGGCTTCATTGCACGTGATGTACCGCCACCTCCACCTATGTATCAATTTCCCTTACCGACACTGCCATCGTTATCATCACCATTGTCGTTCTCGGGACTGACGGGAAATGAGTTTATTGCATTTCAACCTTAGTGTATATTTATTCAGCCTATATCATGTTTGAGTAAGAGATAATACATGATAGTATGATAGATTGTGTGTTTTTGTTTTGTAAAATATATAAAAAATACATTAAATGTTGTTACTTGGCTTGTTGGGAATTATAGGGTGGGGAATATTGTTGGTTAAATACCTAGATGTTACTAATTTGGGTTGAGCTGCAATTAAAATAATGAATGAATGCCTAAGGATTTTCCATAATTCTCATTTAGATGGAAGTAATTAAATGAAGCTGTTTTCCTATGTTCAATAAAGTTCTGTATATGTGCATGTACTTGAAGATGTTGATCTTTTGTTGTTTGCATACAGCTCATGAAGTGTGTCATCAAGTTGACCCCAAGAAAATGTCGTCAACATATTTACTATTGTCAGTGGTCACATACTCACATGTGTCTCCTCCGCCCTCCTTTGCAATTAATTTTTTTTGTTCTATTTACACTTTTATAGATCAAACTTCAAAGGATAAATTAGCTTTGTGGTAACTGAAATACAAAAAAAGAAATGGTAATGAAAGGCTTAATATTCATTCTTTACTTTCTTAACATGAACCTTTGGAACAAAGCCTTTCATATGCATGTTCTCGATCTCAGCCTTTTTGTGGTTTGAAGATTTTGTAGAGAAAAAGGAAGGGATCATGTGTTTTGGTTGAGGTAGCTAGGTTATATATATGTGGATCTCATAAAATATAAGGGGATTTCATGAAATGCTAATGAAATTAGAGTTTTCTTGTGTGTTTTTACTTGGACTGTAATTTGCTGGTCTGGTCTGGACTGATCTGATATGGTCTGATATGGTCTGAACTGGTCTGATCTGGTAATATCTGGTCTCTTTGTATTTTTATAATTATCCAAGTCTGGTCTGATCTGGTCTGAGTCAGATTATAGTCCAAGTAAAAACATCCTTACTCTCACAATATCGGAAGGAAGTATATGACATATAGTTAATGTTTCTAATTTTTTCACATGTATTTAGATTCGTTAGTATTTAACTATTGAAGGGGGCAGGGGCATAGCCAAGAGTAAGAATTGGGCTGAGCCGGTACAAAGAATTTTTAGAAATAAATTTTTACACATATTTTTACATTAAAAATATAAGCAATTTTAAAATTTGGGCTGGGCCGTGTCCTGGTTGGCCACCCCTCCACCTCCGCCCCTGGAAGGGGGTGTTTGGAACTGATTCTGCTTCTGCTTCTCTTTTAAAGCAGAATCAGAATCAATTTCATAAGCTAGTCTCCCCCAACTTTTAAAAAAGTTGCTTCTAAGAGTAAAGAGCACCAAAAGTACTTCTGCACTTTCACCCAAACACTCCAACTTCTGCTTCTGCTTCCTGAAGGAGCAGAAACAGTTTTAAGAATCATATCCAAATGCCCCCGAAATAATTCTACTAATATTACTCTGAAAAAGTGATGGACAAAAATGCGATTATATTTGTGTTCAAAATTTACATCTTGTAAGCACGATGAGGTAAACTTTGTACACAATTATGATGGCTTATAAATATTAAGTCACATTTTTTGTCCAACTTTGGGTAGCTTTTCTATAATTATTACTCCGTACGAAGTAAATATTTTCTTTCGCATTGGCATTCCAAAAGAAAACATTATAATTATGAGAAAAAACCATACTTTGTATTAAATCTTCTTAGGAGTTGGATATTTTTTTTCATCTTTTGAGTTGGATATATTACTATAAGAAAATAGAAATTAAATAAATATAGATAAATGGGAGGAGAGACAACTAAGAGCCTATTTGGTAGCACGAAAATCGGCTGATTTAGCTGATTCTGCTGAAATTTATGAAGTTCTGGCTGAAGTGGCTGCATTGGCTAATTCTGCTGATTTAAGAAACATTTATTTTTAAAATATATTTTATTAATAAAGAAAAAATTGTATGTAAAAATAGTTAAAGTGGCCATCTACAGTGACTTCAGCCAATACAGTCAGAAAAGTAACTCCAATCTTACTTTTTCTACTTAATACACAATTCAACGCGCGAAAGCAAAAATTACATGTTTGATGAAAAAGTTGCCTGACAAGCCGAAAAACAGGGTTGCCCAACGGCCTCTAATACTGCCGAGCGGATTTCTCCATTTACAAAAACTCTCACTCTTTTGTATATGTACAGCACACCGTATCAGTTGGTGAATTTACTTTTTCAATCCGTCCCAACTCCCAAAGTATTCAATTTTGCGATTTTCAAATCAGCCCCAAGTGTCTCGGTAGCATATTTGGTAAACCTTGAAGGCTTGAACAATTATTAAAAAATGCACATAGCTAAAGGGGATTAGAACAACTATATACTCCAACTTCCATATACTTTTCTGAAATGCATTCATTGAATTGAACCAAGCACATAACAGTCTTGTAATTCTCTATTTTCCTCACCTCTTTTATCTTCATTGGTCCCCCACCCATCATTTGAAACAAACACGGGCTTATTTTGGCATGAGAAAATTTTGGATCGGTTGCTTGTCTTAATCGACTGCTCTCAATAGAATGGTTGTGATCAAGCCAACAACTGAGTGGATACAGGGATTCTCTGTAATACATGCTACGGGGTATGTAACTTTGACGAAAAGTGCTGTCAACTTCCCAAATTTGCAGCATTCATAACCAGATGGAATATCCCTGTCCAGATGTTGCAAAGTCTATGCAAGTAATTTTCATTCTTTTTAACAAGAAAATGGAGGATCGGATAGAAATTATTACAATAAGGTTTAAAAGCAGCAAGCAAATATGATGGATTCATTGAGAAATTCTGAACAAGATAAAACACAAGTACTTGGTGGCATCAGAAACAGAGACTCCCCACTGGGGCATGCTGCGCGCAGTATATATACCATGCTTCTAGTAAGAATAACTCTTGATTGAGATCCAGAACTGCCACATGATGCTATATGTTTGTACATAAGCTATACTGTTACTCGTGCGCGTCCCTTGGCAATTCTTCTAGCAATTACTCTCCGGCCACCTTTTGTAGCCTTTCTGTTCAATTTTATAGAGTTAAGCTACTGTATATTTGTCACACATAAAAGTAACAACAATCCAGAAAATAAGAATGTGTTGGGTAGGCTTCGTTTTTAGCTTATCAATCCTCCTAGCCAATTTTTTCAACAAATATTGACTTATATCACTATGAAAACCAGAACTAGATGATAATTGGAAAATGTAGAGCAAAATACTCCTTTTTAGCTGGAGTGGTTGAACTTACACCATACTCCGTATATTTGAGTTTAATTATTTATATGCTCTTATAAATTGATCAGATTCAGATTCAGATAACTGTATGATCATTAAAAGAATTCAAAAGTTTCGAGTTTTGAACGGGTTTTGCATAACGTTTTTTTATTAAGCTGAAATGAAATAATAGTAAGAGGAATTAGAGGAAGGGAGATGTACCGCGCAAGAAATCCATGATTTCTTTTGCGTCTTATGTTGCTTGGTTGGTACGTTCTTTTAGTGTGGCAAAGCATTGGCTCGTTAGTAGAAGTTTCTCCTGTCAGAGAGAAGTTAAAACATTAAGCAATGTCTAAGAGAAGGACAATGTTACGCCACCATAATTTCGAACAACAAACAATAGTCAAACCATGATGGCAAAACTAGGTGCTGTATTCACAATTTCAGTGGTTGTTCCCTTACCCCGTGTTTGTTTTGCAGAATTCGGAAGGTGTGGTAAATGATGACATTTACATTTGATTTACTCTTATACATAGATGGTTTAAAGAAAGTGAAATGAGATATTTTAAAAGTTTCAGATTTAACTAAGCATTTGTGTAGCAGATATTTACTACTTTACCACAAGTAAATAGAGATAAATTAGTGAAAAGAAATAAATCCTGCCCTTCCCTCCCCTCCAAACACACCACACCTAACAAACCCTTAACGTCTTAATCAATAAGCAAACTTAAAGAGGAAAATTAAACATTACTTTCACATCCTACCACTCACCTTCGAGGAAATGGAGCAATCGAATATAGAATAATATGTACAACTTTTCATTGACATTAATAACATTCCGAAGTCGCAATCCTTCTTCTACAACACATGGGCCTAAATTTCAACGTTGATGGATCCATCGAATTCTATTTCCATCTAACATCTCAATCAGAGACTAGTAAAGAGAGAATAGGACTTCATATCACTATATGAGGAATCATCATGATTCAAGAATAAGTGACAAACTCATGCAGTCATGTCATAGTGGAAGACTTAAAATTCGTTTAGCTGTGCAACTTAGCTTAGAGAAAATGCATAATGATTTCAGAACCATTCTAAGCAACTTAACAATACAGACAAGTCCAAACCACGCGGCGCTATGAATGCAATTCACATTAACAATGAAAATCACATTAGTTCAACAATCCACCATTACATTTATTAAAAAGGTGCACAGTCAAGTTTCCTTAGCCTCAAGATTGAGACACAAAAAGCCCCTAGGAAAAAGTTACGATTTTGTAGATCGTTGAACGTAACACTATAAGTAATATAATGCAGTTACTCAAAAAAGAAATAAAGATAGAATGGTATCATAAACAGATAATTATGCAAATAAACATAATACTTAAGCTTATACACAGTACAAAATGTGAATGTAAAAAATTACCCTCAGGAAGAAAAAATCCAAGCGAAGGGAGGCCACAAGGGTAGAGAAAACCCTCCGCAGACAGGTTTCGAAATAAATCGGCATTATTTGGGGGGAAATGGATAGCGTAAGTCTGAGAGGAGATACAAGGGAAGAGCTTCGGGGTGATTTCGGGGGTCCGAGATACCGTCTGCAGCGAATTTCGGGCAGTACTTTGGTTCATCAATCGCTTGATCAAAGAGAAACCATTCCGGAAAAGAAGCGATCTCGACGAGGAGGAAGACGACATTGTTTTTCCAGCTGAAAGTTCAGTATACCCTAGTTCCTCTGCAACTCATTTCCATGGTGCTGCGCATTCATTTTGCTGTCCTTGAAAGGTCCGTGTTGATAATGGGCCTATTCTTGAATCGTGTCTTTCTGACAGATTACGCCCATTCACCCGACGTTGGCCCATTTTATCAATTTTCGAAGAAGAAATTGTCACATAGGACTATAGGAGTACGTCCAGAATCGTAATTAGATCTTAGACACGTAGATAAGATTCACATAATAATCTCATAATCTTTTAAAAACTCACATTATTTTTACTATATTATCTCGCTTACTCACTACATCACTAATATGGAGTACATCATAAACACTCATTATTATAACTCATTACAATCCCAGTGTCGTACCCCGTATCATCTAATATTTCCAATTTTCTTTTATAGTAGACTTTATCTTATTCCCACCAACCTCTACGGTAACATGTAGTCGCCGATTGTTGCTTTCCCGCCAATCATTCTTTTACTCTTTTACAGAAACTTTTTAGAAAATGTGTATTGATGACCTAAAGGAGCCTAGAAGTGACAAACATTTTTTAGTGTTATCTCGAAAAAATAGATATTGTCAATCACTAGTGACTGGGTGTGATCATTTCAATAAATAAATACTACGTAACATCTACAAAAGAATATCTAGCAAAGGCAGAATACCTTCTTCTAATTTCTAAATAGCTTTCTACATATGATCAAAAAATAGCTTTTTACATGAAATGATCATAACCCGTTGTGGATAGGGAGGTAAAACTTGGCTTATTTGCAATAGCAGCTTGCCACGAGACTAGGGCTGGAACATATCCTGTCAAGAAGAGTTTGTGAACGGGCAAAGATCGGGGGTTGTCAATGGTGGCAGAGTTGTCGACTTGTGCATGGTAGAGTAGGTTGATGGAAATAGGGAAAATGTCTTCATAAAAGAAAAAAATAAAAATGAAGTAAAATAGTGACAACGTACAAATTGTCAATGACATGACATGACCGCTAGAAAACTCGTTAGTTACATGAAAAAACTGTTAAATATAATGTTAATTACATGATTTCGTGGTATGTTTCTTTTTTAACAATGTCTAGTGTTGGTATTTATCATTAGTGGAGCCGATAGGGGTGGAGTTTCCACATTATCAAGGCTTATTCTACACAAATTTTTGAAAATTTGACCTTGGTTGATGATGGTTAAAGGGTCCTGGGCATTCGTCCCCTTCTGAACTGCCGCCGAGTTTTGAGAGTAAATTGATGTTTCAATGCAACTGCTTTTCGGTGGCTGATCAAACTTGTGATTCTGAAAAACTTTTCCTAATAGCCGGTCAAACTCATGGATTGACACGAAAAGTACTTCAAGCTCCTAATCAAAGAAGACGAATGACTGTTTTTTTTTGCTACATTTTTTTGCTAAATTTGGATTTTTTGCTTTTATTTTATTGCTTTCGTTGGGCCAAACTTTTGTCGGTTTGGTGTAGTTGTCTGGTTGAGTTTTTAGGTTGTCTTCAGATTAACAGGAAGGGGAAGGGAATTGCTTCCTGTCTAGTGGTTAGTTAGCCAGTCATTTTGCTGATGAGGGGTGATCACTTCTTTGTCTGATCTTACGATTACCCGTTTGACTGTACTTCCATTATAAATTGAGCAAATCATTTCCATTGTGTCATAACTTCTTGAATTGAAGCACGATGATTTGATGATTTAATATTATTGATTAATTAATCCTTTTCCATTTTTCACTTTTATATTGAGTTGCATAAAACTAAACATAATTTCCGAAATGTGAGATAAAATAAAGCAAAGAAGACATATTAGTAAATAATATTAATACTCCCTCCTGTTCTTCAAATTTCTGTCGAATTTCAGTTATCTAGCAGTTCAAACAAAAATTACATTTCCCAGTTTTCTCTACATAAATACTCCCTCCGTCCCGGAAAATTGTTCCCGGATTCCTTTTTGGGCCGTCTCAAAAAATTGTTCCGCTTTCCTCTTTTGGAAAATTTTTTGTGGCTACAATTCATTTACCTTTTTCTTACTCAACCACAACCATACATTTCCACTTTATTCCTACTTTCTTAAACTCCGTTCCAAGTCAATGCGGGAACAATTTTCCGGGACGGAGGGAGTATCAATTACACATTTTTTTTTACTTTTTGGTACACTTGCAAGTCAACTTTAATCACATTATAAGTTTTTTTTTCTTATTTCACATGCAGATTAGGTCATTAGGATAGTCAAGGTTTATTGGACTGAGGTTGCAGCTCTCAAAGAGGAGAAGAATAACCGAACATTAGTCTAGTACCCTAGTGTTTGCATTTACATGCTCAATAAGGCCAATTAAATACAACATCCGTCTCATTTTATGTGTCTCACTTTGACTTGACATAATTATTAATAAAATGGTTGAAAAAGTAAAAGTTGTGATTGAAGTTTGAGTATAATAAAGTGAAAAAATGTAGGCCACATATTTCTTTCCAAATAAGGAAATGAGACATTTATTTTGGGACAATCCAAAAAGAAAAGTAGGATAGGTAAAATGGAAAGGAAGAAGGCAAGGCAAAGCAAGGAGAAGGCAAGTGATATTTTAAACTCCGTATTGCCACTCTCTATCTGTCAGATTGTGATTATAGTCCAATTTATATCCTCAAATCGTGCCGTCCAGTCGGTGGTGGGGGGCCCTCAGGGATGGGGTGTCATCCTTTTTTTTAAACTCCGTATTGGGATGGGAGTAGCTAACTAGGGCTATGTTTGCAATTTCTTCAGCTTTTTAAAAGTGATTTTTGTAAATGATTATTAGAAAAGTGATTTGTAGTAAAAATAGATAGTGTTTGGAAATAAATGTGATTTTATTTAGAAGATAAAAGTTGAAATGTTTCATAAAAAAGTGATTTGTGATATAATATTTTGAAAAATTACAACAACACTCTTTATTTTAAGCCTGGTAAGCGCAGATCTAGTATCATCTCTTGAATGGTTTGAAAACCCGATGTAAAAGTATAACATTTTGCTGTAAAATAACATCAAAATATCCAGATGCGGTATCCTTCTAATGGTTCATTGATTTGAAAACCATATGTGAAAGATGATTTCTCCCTGGTAATATCGCGGAGTGTCAAATAAATTTGCTTGAAGCATCACCGGCCGTAGAAATTGGCTTAACCATTTAGAAACCAATTGGGAGAATAAAAACTAAAACCCATCAAATCAGATGAATGAAAAACTAAAATACTAGAGAATTGGCTTCAAGAAGCTTCAGGGAATTGACCGGCATGCTTGAAGCCTTGAACAGGTCGATGGAGCCAGCAAGAACCGGAGAAGACGGAAAGGGTAAGTTCGGACATGTGTGTAAAAGGAGCTATGAGATTATCCCCACACTTCAACTTAATTACAAAATTACTTTAAAAAGCAACTAAAAGCATGTCTATGGCTGCTACAGCTTTTAGCTCAAAAGCACTTCCAAATAAGCAAAAATTTGTCTTTGCAAATACACTTTCTAGCTTTTTTCAATTGAAAAGCTAAAAAGTGCTTTTAAAACGCAATGGCAGACACTGCCTAAACATACTAGACTACATAGGGATGTTTAGAACTGATTCTGCTTCTTTTTTAAAACAGAAGCAGCAGCAGAATCAGTTTTCAGAAGCTAGTCTCCTCCAACTTCTGTTTCGGCTCCCTAAACGAGCAAAAGCAGTTTTAAGAATCAGATCCAAACACCCCCATAAACAGCAAGATTCTTTGTATAGCAAATCACATTAAATTTTATGGGCATGTCAATTGGGCATGGACTGGGCCGGTTCGGACCGACCCTCTACTTGGCCCGGTCCATTATTGTATGGTAACGGCCCGGCCCGGACGACCGGGGCTGGGGGGCCGAACCGGGGGTATTAGGGGTGATAGAGTATATGGGCCTGGACCCCATGGCCCACATACTCAACGGCCCAAAAGACACCAGCGGGGCACCCGCACCGGCCAGAGGCACCCGACGTCCAAGAAAGAAGACATCACCCGGATTCTTGGGGCAAAGCCCAAAATCCGCATCGTCCAGGGATCGCATCGTCCGTGGACCGCATCGTCCATGGACCGCATCGTCCAGGACCGCGTCGTCCGGCCTTAATACTCTAGGCAGAATGTATTTTTTCTTGTATTTACTAAGTATTGTACACAGCCCATTAGTAGCCTTATTTCGCCCAAAGAAGGCATAATTATTGTAATGGACCCCTCCTAAGCCCAAGGCTAGGGGCCCAAATCCACATTTTTACCTATAAATAGACCCCAAGGGGCTAGTTATAGGGGGTTCCAAGTTGAGAAATATAATTACTCACTTTCTCTCTCTAGCTCTCACTTCTTTCTAGAATTAATACTCTATCAAGGGGCGTGCTACAAAATCCGCATATGGTGGACCGGCCCGGCCAGTCCGGGACCGGTCTTGGCCTAAATTATTATTTTTTTAAATTTTTCCCATTCATTGGATGCTAGGCGGGTGGGGCTGGGAGGTTTGGGGGTGGGAGTTGGAATAAATTATTAAAACAAATTTAAAACAAAAAAAAAAACTTGGATCTGACCCGGGCCGGGCCGGGCCGGGCACGATTCCAACCCAGGCCGGTACCTGGCCTTCAGCCCAAACCCCCAGTCCGGACCCGTACTGAGGAGATGAGAAAACGGGGTCTAATACAGTGTAAAAGACTATGATGTAATAAAGTGATATTGCTCACTAAACTTCTTTAATATAAAGTAACAGTCAGCCTATGCAATTTTTTGACACAATTTTCACCATGGGTCATCTCAAGATGGGAACCTTTGTGGTACTGGGTAATGATAATGATGATGATCATACGGTCTATATATTTGTTATCATTCAGAAACAAATGAATAATAGGATGTGTATCCATTCTGCAAGCACACTTCTCTGTAGTCTGTAACGTTAACTGGGTCAGCATTTGCTTCCCAGGTCAAACATACAAAAATTCAGGAACTATATACTGGGTATAGTTTAAGAAAAGCAATTTTTCCGATTGGAAAAATAATACACTATCAGCTATGAACACAAAAAAAAAGTTTTTACTAACACAGCATAGGTGACGACTCTCACTCCTCGGCTTGTAAGGCGTTAGAAATCCAATCTGAAGCAGCTGTCTCAATTTCTTGCGCTACATGTTGTGAAAGAGATAACGGAGTGACAGCAACCTGTTCATGTTTTGTTTTCACCAAGTTAACATATGTAGCAGCCTGTTTCACTTTTGCTACTAGTGTTTTTACCATAAGTTAAGCACCTTGAATCTTTTTCCCTAGAAAAGCACCAATGTGTTGCTTTTTAAAATATAAGCATAGAAAGTGATTTTTTGAGTTGAACATTTTCGTTTTCCCACCAACTACTTCTTTTGAAGTAAGAGTGGTTTTCTTCTTCTGAAAAGCACTTCTCTCTTGAAAAAAGGCATCCGAACCGTTCTCTAAAATGCGAATTGTCGATGAATGGTATGCCTTATAGAACCGTGTGGCGTGTGTTGCTTAATAAGTTCTAGAAAAGAAACAAATTGCTAGCTTGAAGTAAATACAGCACTTACAAATCCATTTTGAACCGCTCTAAAATCTAAATCATCACCACTGTCTTCTAGTTCATTGTCTAGCAACTGCAGTGACAACAAACATTAACTCATTTATCAATAACAACAATAAGAAATATGAAAATGATACTACTAATGATAATATGGTTCCATGGCAAAGCATGTGATTGATTATGAAAGGTGATTATGGGTTGCTATAATTCAATAATAATTTAATAATCACCTATTACAGATCAAAGGAAACAAACCACTTGAGGATTTCCTAGTGGTCATCCCAAAGCCAAAATCAATAAACATGTGTATTCATAATATACCCGCAAAAGTGCATTACAACAAAGCTTACCTCCAATCTGAAGTACTTGACTGCCCTGTTGGGATCAGATTTTCTAGCAACCCCAACTGACTCAACTTCTTCAATATCTTTCTTCTGTGTGGCCAAACGACGAGCAGCACCCTGAGACAATGAGAGGTTAAACAAAACCGCAAGCAGCAGCCTCAGGTTAGCATTGTTATGTGTACCACATCTTTTTTTACTTCCAAAAATCAGTAAGATATAGTACTAGATTTCAAGTTGCAACTTAACCGCACTAATCCAAAAATTCAAGTTTCAACTCCTTTTGTCTACTTCCTTATTTGACCGTACCAAAAGGTTTACCACTTAATCACACAAATTTCCCTTGAGGAAAAAAATTTGCGGTATATATTGTCTCTCTCTTCTACACGCATCTTATTCACACAAATTTCACTTCCATATTCCTTGTACTGGTCAAAGTAATAAGGAAAAGGAGATTATATTTAAAGCTTAATGTAAGTTTGTAACAAAGGTCCCATTTGTTTTCCAGAGGGTTGGTGCTACACGCTGCAAAATGCAGCGGTTTGTAGTTAAATTAATTCAGCGTTTTGAATGGAACGCTATTATCCAAATGGGACCAAATCAAAATTGGGACATATTAGTGAGTCATTATCCTAGGCATAAGGAAATTATGCAAGTTGCAATAATATGTACATGCAGAATTCCATATCCAACGAATGAATGAATGATCATGAAGGTCCGTTTGGAACTTTAAAATTGCAGGGAAAGAGAATATGGAGGAAAGTATAGGGGAAATTTGGAATAAAAGAAAATGTGGGATGATTCAAACTGAATAAATTTATAATTTTTTTTAAATATTTGTTCTAACTAATGAACCTATTTAGTTCTCGAACATGAATACTGGTCAATCTCAATACATGGTGGAAATAATATAAAAACATTGATCATATTTCTTGATTCCATGTCCAGACACAGGTAACTTGCCTTCAATTTTTTTCCTTTCCCTACATTTTCAATAATGTTAAGTCCAATATATGCCCTGAAAGTAGCAAAAGTACACTTACTGCAGCAGAGGCATCTCGGCCAAGCTGAGCAAGCTGTATGCCGAGGCTTTGCTGATTCGCAGGAAAGCGTCCAGCAGCAGGATTCCTGTTTGCTGGAATAGCTTTCCAACTTGGTGTGGACCTCCAAATACTCGGTTTTGTTAATTTAAATCCCTGTCAAACAAAGACAAAAAGTCAGTTTTTCAGCACAATCATGAATAGGGGATAGCACATAAATTCTTGTAGGACTTACTACGCATTATTATTTTAACCAACCAGACCAAAAATTCAAATTCAAACAAAACCAGGCTAGAACAAAAAAAACTAACCAGATTTAGACCCCAAGCTCGACAAGAAAGATTCAAACCAAAACAAAGCAGAAGATTCCCAAAAAAGATTAGAAAACTTATTTACCAATTTTTAGCATCACTAATATCATGTTATTGTTATCATGATAATACTTGTAAATAATTTATAATGGATAATACTTTTATAGTTATTGCTGAATATTAGTATTATTATGAATTCTATTAGGGGGGAATTCCCGAAAATAGGAGTTCAACATTTGGAAATTCCACAATAGGAGTGATATATTTCCCCCCCTAAATAAGAGTACGTTATTACCATAAGTGGCAGTACTTTCCAAGCTTGGCAGTAATTTACTCCAATTTAGGGAATAGAAACATAGAACTCATATTTTGGAAATCCCAAACATTTCTACTCCTAATTAGTGCGATTTCGTATTCTATTATTGTTGTTGTTACTGTTAAAGCACAAAATTAATAGCAATTTTGTGGAAGTAATGCATAGAAGAGGGGCCACAAAGGGCTCTTGTGAAAGTGTACCACATTAAAATAAAAGTGCAGTATGGCAAAAAATGGCTAAAGGGAAACCTTATTTGTGAGAGGAGAAGTTGGAACTTCTACATTCAGTAAACAACATTTGGGAAAAGCACCCTTTTCTATATCTCTAATTGCTGTAGCAATTAAAGGTAATGAAACGCTTGCAGCATCCTTGAAATCATTTTCCTGACTTTCATCATTCTTCCTGAAAGTCATAAAACCAAACACTGCCACATTCAAGCTAAATGTTAACAAATACTCTTAAGAGGGTAGTAGAACGGGCAAGAGATTACCAGTTAAGAGATATTGATATAGAGGGAATGCCACTCAACAATGCCTCCCTAGCACCTGCTACAACACCCGAGCTATACCTGAAAGGGTAAAAAACACTCTGCTTTAAAACTTAGATAAAAATAGAGCATTTAGGCCATGTTTGAAACCCGTAGTACCGTAGATGGTGATTATGGCAGAAAAAACAAATGCAAAATTACTAACAAAAATGGCGTTCTTAAGTTTGGTTTTAATCCAAATCAATTTTAATTTAAAAATTAACACATTTAGATTTCTTAGTCTTTAGTAATAGAAATATGTAGAGAAAATGAGTTGGACAAACTGAAAATTGATCTAGAGTTTGAACCAAATTTTCATTTTCCATCAAAGTCTCTCTTTCCAAATTTCTCATTATGTTCCTCTGTTAGAGACTCAATGCAGCCGAACAAGGAAGACAAATATTATGGAAGAGTCTATTCTAGAAGGAGGGAGAGGGGTAGTTATTAGTTATGTTCTGTTATTAGCTAATAACCGTAAGTGGTTGTTCACTTACTATAAATAGAATTGACTGGGGGATTTCCCAGTAGGCTGTTAGACTGTTTAGTCAGAACTGGGAAGATAGAGTTTTAGCTCTATACTTTGGGGGCTTCGGCCATTGTAGCTATATACATTCTCAATAAAACTGTGGAGTTCTTGTAATCTTGTTGGTGTTATTGCTGTGCATCTCTAGTGTTTCTTACAGTGGTATCAGAGCACGACGATCTCTGGATGAGATATACTCGTGCTAAGATGGACGGAAGAATGACAGACATGGAGAGAAACTTTACTGATATGGCCAGGAATCAGAGAGAATCAGCGGCAAGGCAAGATACACTGGAGACGATGATGGTAGCTATGCAGGCGAGTCTCGCGGATATCCAAAGTTGCCTTCCAGGTCGTGCGCGAAGTAGGTCGCAGGCCTCCTCAGCTTCGCATCGCACTTCTCACCGTCATCGATCACGCCATTCAGAGAATGATGACGTATCGGAGGGAGACTCAGATCATTCATCACACCGTAATCACAGACATCACAGGGAACACCATCCTCGTCGCCGAACAGGAAGGAAGATCGATTTGCCATTGTTTAATGGAGATGATGCCTACGGTTGGTTGGTTAGAATCGACAGATATTTTCGTCTCAATCAGATTGAGGAAGACGAGAAGTTGGATGTTGCGGTGGTTGCTATGGAAGACCGCGCACTGAGTTGGTTTCAGTGGTGGGAGAATCAGACGAGAGAAAGGAATTGGGACGCTATGCAGGAAGCTCTAACGCGAAGATTCCAACCAGAGTTGGTACGTAATCCGTTGGGACCTCTATTAGGTCTAAAGCAAAAGGGAACTGTGAAGGAGTTCCGAGAACAATTTGAGATGGCTATAGCATCTCAAGGCGATCTAAGCGAGAAGGTTACAAGAGGTATTTTCTTAAATGGCTTGAAGAAGGACATTAGAGCTGAATTGAAGCTTTACAGTACAAGAGATTTGGCAGAAATCATGGATACAGCTCTATTGATTGAGAATAAGAATTTTGAAATACTGTCTAGGAGAAATAAGGAAGAAGGGAAGAAGGTGTGGAAGAGCAGCAACGCTGGGAAACAAGGTTACAATCATTGGGGAGATGGCAGTAGAAAAACTTACAACCAGGCCTCTACCAATCCATCAGTGAAGGATTCAGTTGATAATAGGAGGCAGGAGGAGGGATCTAATTCTATTTCTAAGAAATTAGGTCCTAGATTGTCACAGAATGAGTTGTTGGAAAGGAGTAAAAAGGGACTTTGTTTTAAATGTGGGGACAGATGGAACCGAGGCCATGTTTGCAGTATGAAAAGCTTTAAAATGATGTTGGTTGAACAATCTGAAGGGGAAGTAGAATCTGACATGACTTCTAGTGATGAAGGAGAGGATGAAGAAACAAAAATGGAAGCTAAAACACTGAAATTATCTGTCCTGAGTCAGGAAGGGATCCCATCCATGAAAACTTTCAAGGTTCTGGGTAACATCAGATGGGGAAATCATCAGCAACAAGTGAATATTCTGATTGATTGTGGGGCTACTCACAATTTCATCTCTCAAAGATTGGTGAACACATGGCAGATACCTTATAGGTGTATTAAAGGCTACAAGGTGCAGATAGGGAATGGGGAATTTCTTCCCAACAATGGCAGATGTGAAGAGGTAGCTTTGGAGATACAAGGCAACCAGATTGTACAGCAATTCTACATTTTGGACTTGGGTGGAATAGATTTGGTGTTGGGAATGGAGTGGTTAACAGATCTTGGGGATATGGAAGTCAACTTCCAGAATCAAATTCTTAAATGGAGAAGACAGGACCAGGTGTATACTATCAAGGGAGATATAGCCCTGAATCAGATGGAAGTTTCATTGAAGTCTATCACTCACATTTTGCAGAATACAGGAGATGGCTACTTGTTGCTTTGTGAAGGTAAAGAGCAGAATTCTCAGTCCAATCTAGAGGAGGATGAAACCTGGAACAATATAATTGGTGAGTTTCCTGAAGTCTTCAAATCAGTGTGGGATTTACCTCCAGAAAGACCATGTGACCATGCCATAAATATTATAGAGGGAGCCAGTATACCTAATCTGCGGCCATACAGGTATACTTATGATCAAAAAAATGAAATTGAAAAGATTATACAAGAAATGCTTTCTTCTGGGATTATCAAACACAGTAACAGCCCTTACAGCAGCCCCATACTATTGGCCAAGAAAAAAGATGGTGGGTGGAGATTTTGTGGTGATTATCGAGCATTAAATAAGGTGACTATTCCAGATAAGTTTCCTATACCAGTTATAGAAGAACTTTTAGATGAGTTAGGAGGAGCTAAAGTGTTCTCAAAACTGGATTTGAAATCAGGATATCATCAGATAAGAATGAAGAAAACTGATGCCCATAAAACAGCCTTTCGAACACATGAGGGACATTATGAGTATGTTGTAATGCCTTTTGGGCTAACGAATGCTCCCTCAACTTTTCAAGCATTGATGAATGAAGTTCTTAGACCTTTCTTAAGAAAATTTACTTTAGTTTTCTTTGATGACATTTTGGTTTATAGTAAATCAAAAGAGGATCATATAGAGCATCTAAGAAAAGTGTTGACAGCCTTACAAGAAAATAAATTGGTAGCCAATCGGAAGAAATGTTCTTTTGGCCAGAGTCAATTGTCATATTTGGGTCATATAATTTCTGGAGAAGGAGTATCTGCTGACCCAAGTAAGATAGAGGCTATGGTGAGCTGGACAGAACCTCAAGATATCAAAGGGTTGAGAGGATTTCTGGGTTTGACTGGTTATTATAGACGGTTTGTAAAGGGGTATAGCAGAATTGCAGCTCCTTTGACCAATCTGTTGAAGAAGGATAGTTACAAGTGGGGAACTGAGGCTAGCAAAGCTTTTATCCAGTTAAAAGAAGCTATGACTACATTACCTGTTCTTGCAACTCCAGATTTTACCAAGAAGTTCATCATTGAAACTGATGCTTCAGGAAAAGGGTTAGGGGCTGTACTCATGCAAGAAGGAAGGCCCATTGCCTTCATGAGTAAGGAACTTTCTCCTAAGCATCACAGTAAATCCGTGTATGAAAAAGAGCTTATGGCTGTGGTTTTGGCTGTACAAAAATGGAGACCCTACCTTTTGGGAAGAACATTTGAAGTGCATTCAGATCAGAGAAGCTTAAAATACTTGACTGAGCAGAAGATTATGGGACCTGAGCAACAGAAATGGATCACTAAGCTATTGGGGTACAATTTTGATATCAAATACAAACCTGGTGCGGAAAATAAAGCAGCTGATGCTCTGTCTAGAAAGCCTGCTTTTTTATCATTATCAGTAGTATCATGTCAGGAGTGGACTGGTTTGGAAGAAGAACTGTTGGAGGATTTAAGATGTAAGGAAATTCTACAGAAGCTTACATCTCAGCCAGATTTGATGAAGGATTATCAGATAAAAGGAGGGATCCTCTTTTATAAAGGGAAGCTGGTTTTGCCTAAAGGGTCTAACAGAATACCCAGAATCCTCAAGGAATACCATGAAACTGCCTTTGGAGGACACTCAGGGTATTTTAGAACTATGAAAAGGATCTCCAGTCTATTCTATTGGGCAGGTATGAGAAATGACATAAAAGACTATGTGCAGGGGTGTGATACTTGCCAAAGAAACAAACATCAAACATTGAAACCTGCAGGTTTGCTGCATCCCCTACCCATTCCAGAACATATATGGTCGGATATTAGTATGGATTTTATTGGGGGCTTACCTAAATCCATGGGGAAGGATACCATTTTGGTAGTGGTTGATAGGATGACAAAATTTGCACATTTCTTGCCTTTAACTCATCCTTATAATGCAAAAGGGGTTGCTGAAATCTTTATACAGGAGGTGGTAAAGATACATGGATTCCCTAAATCCATTGTGAGTGACCGGGATAGTCTATTCTTATCTGCCTTTTGGTCTGAATTGTTTAAATCAGCTGGTACTACACTGAAGTATAGCACTGCTTACCACCCTCAAAGTGATGGGCAAACGGAGGTGGTCAATAAGTGTTTGGAGACCTATCTAAGATGTATGACTGGCAGAAAACCAAGACAGTGGGTGAAGTGGTTACCTTGGGCAGAATTCTGGTATAACACTAACTATCATATATCCTTGAAACACACACCATATCAAGCCTTATTTGGTCAAGAACCTCCCACAATAATCAGAGGAGATGTGAGTCTGACTTCTGTGGCTGAGGTATCCAGACTGACTGCAGAAAGGAATGTTATGTTAAAGGAATTGAAGGATCATTTGGCCCAAGCACAAAATAGAATGAAGCAACAGGCAGACAAAAATAGAAGGGAATTGGAGTTAAAAGTGGGGGATAAGGTCTTTTTGAAGATACAACCTTATAAAATGAAAAGTTTGGCCAAAAGGATTAACCAGAAATTAAGCCCCAGATTTTATGGCCCCTATGAGATCATAGAGAAAATAAATGCTGTAGCCTTTAAACTAAAACTGCCAGAAGAAAGCCAGATTCACCCAGTCTTTCACATCTCTTTACTGAAGAAAGTATTACATCCTACAGCTTCCTACCAGGATCTTCCCAAATGTTTAACTGAAGAAGGAGAATTGATGGTGGTCCCTGAGAGGGTGAAGGAAGTCAGGTTCAATCAGAATGGGGAAAAGGAGGTCTTGGTGCACTGGAAAGACCTCCCTGAATATGAAGATTCTTGGGAAAAAGAGCAGGTGATCAGAGAACAATTTCCTACCTTCCAACTTGAGGGCAAGTTGGATTTTCAAAGGGGGAGTTATGTTAGAGACTCAATGCAGCCGAACAAGGAAGACAAATATTATGGAAGAGTCTATTCTAGAAGGAGGGAGAGGGGTAGTTATTAGTTATGTTTTGTTATTAGCTAATAACCGTAAGTGGTTGTTCACTTACTATAAATAGAATTGACTGGGGGATTTCCCAGTAGGCTGTTAGACTGTTTAGTCAGAACTGGGAAGATAGAGTTTTAGCTCTATACTTTGGGGGCTTCGGCCATTGTAGCTATATACATTCTCAATAAAACTGTGGAGTTCTTGTAATCTTGTTGGTGTTATTGCTGTGCATCTCTAGTGTTTCTTACATCCTCCGTAGTCCATATCATCGTACCCTAACAACTCCCAAGTTGCAAACAGACCCTTGAGGATACAAACTCAATTCATGGCTCGAATAGAAACATATGCAAATGCAAATGCTAATAAAGTTTCAGTTCATCAGCAGTTGAAAGTGACAGCAAATAAAAGGAACTTTCAATAAAAAAGAAGAAATCATTAGCTAAACGCCTAAAACACTAGTTTTAATAAAGTTTGATTGTCATGAAGATACTTTAAAAAAAACACTTACATGTGATTGCCACGACTCGAGCCCCTATTGATTCCGCTGATTACCTAAACATGTTAGAGGTAAATTAGAGAGAAAACTACTCATCATCATCATCATCATTATCATTACCCAAGTGCCGCAAAGGCTCCCACCTACGGTGGGGTAAGGGGGGTCGAATGTACGCAGTCTTACCTCTGTACTAAAGAACAGAGAGACTGTTTCCGGATGACCCATAGTGAAAATGGCATCGAAATTGCATGGACTGACTGCTGCTTCATAACAAAGAAGCGCAGGCAGTTTTGTGAGAAAACTACTCCGTACCAAAAAAGAATTAGTAAAGAATTTTTTGTTACACAGTTACACTCTCTGTTCTAAAAATCGTTCTAGGCGCCCGACTAGTCCCCGCCTAGGCGCTAGGCGGTGGTCAGGCGCCCCGATTTCCGTCTAGGCGCTCTGACTAATTGATTTGCCGTCTAGGTGAATTAGTCGGCCGCCTATGGCGCCTAGTTGCCCGCTTAGAACGCCTAATCAGCCGCATAGGCCGTCTAGATTCGCCGAACTTACTTCACTTTTTCATTTTAATATTCTAAGCGATATACATACTTTAACTTCAGCCATGGATATAAAGAAATGAAATTGTAAATTAAGATAAAACTATATAGTTTGTATATATACCTAAATTTTATCATTATTTATATTTATAACAGAATGAAGTTAAGTGATTAGTTATCATATACCACATATGATCAAATGTGATAATTCTGTCAGCCATGTTTGTTAATGTATATGTATATATGTATTTTATACACACAAAAATACAATATTACTTATCATATTTATGCAAAAATATATATATAAATGCAATTTCTATGTTTCCGACTAATCCCCGCCTAGGCGCCTGCTTAGCCGCCTAGGCGCTAGGCGCTGGGCTTGCGCCCGACTAGCGCCTAGCGCCTTTTAGAACATTGGTTACACTACGTATTTAACTAATGAAATCATGTCCCCATACAATGGAAGGCTTTGACCAAGAATAAAGTGCCCCGGATAAGACCAGTGAGATACAATCCGCAGGAGTCCCTGAAAGACAGTGACATAGTATTGCTAAGAGCATCTTTAATGGGAGGCTGTCAACATTAAAATAATTGTGACACATGGCAATATATTATTGGAATGTTTAGCCATGTAGGAAGAATGTTAAAACTCACGTTGCAAAACATTGATAAAGCACAGAAATGGTCTCCAGTGGGAAACTAAATACAGCAACCAAAAGCTCTCCACGTTGCAACAGATTGCACGAGTGGGGGTGGAAAGTTTATTTCTTACACGGGTGGTTTATTTTAATGGGCATGATAATTTATATCCGCTTAAAAAGACTGACTCGGCATGTAAACATCAATGTTATACGAATACAGTGATGTAAACAGTGTCGGTTTTTTTTTTTTTGACAAATCAGCATTACATGAAAGTTAACATGCTGCGTTGGAAACAAGTTTTTTACACCAATGTTTAAAGCTGATGACGTAGCCATCGTTTTTAATGTGAACAGCCTCGGACTGGAGATGCTCTAAGAGTGATAACCTTTTGTCAAAATATTGATAATCTTTAAAATAAAATAGAACATAAGGGACATCATACCAGAAACCTCATAGCCGGTGGCTCCTTGAACTTCAACTGAGCTCACTCCAACTGTTTCCCTCAGCGTAATTGAATGGCCAGATAATGATTTGTCTCTGTCAAAATAATCATAAGAGACCAAAGAGCAATGAGTTTACGAGTTGGGAAAATTAGACCCGTTTAAAACAGACGGGGTAACACTTTAACAGGACTCAATTCCAGCATTTGAGCCCCACCACGGAGAAAAAAGAATCCACATTAGTAACTCGTTAACATATCACCAAGAATTGTAGCAGCGATAAAGGAGAAATCAGAAATGACAGAATGATGAGATTGCACGCATAATGTAACGTCTGGTTAATGTAAAAAATCATAACTAGATAAAGGGTATCAAATTTACGCCAGTAGTGAATTGTTAATCTAAGCACACGCGCACACAAAGTAAAACTTGATCGGCGTATCGTTAAATGCCTAAATGTAACTGAAATCAGACATTGCAAAAGACCTACGATTGCGGAGCGCAGATGTAAACATTGTAGAGGCCATGGCGAACCAGAGCATCGACAAGACATGTGAGACCTGGGGAATCAATCCCGTCGGCATTAGTCACCAAAACGATAGGCTTCGTGCTGTCCGGCTCCCCGGTGGCGTTCGAAGATGACAGCTCCGTCGTATCGTCGTTGGACTTCGATTGTTGAGCCTCCTCCTTTCCTTTCTCACCGGCGTCACTTTTCCGGCGTAGAAGAACATCCTGGAGATTGGAGACCAGAGCTGTAGGCAATAAGTTGTTCTTCCCAGCGGAGGTAGCCATTGTTATAGAGGAAACGGTGTAGACATATATGCAGGGGAATAATGATGAATATATATACGATAAAGTGGGCAGAAAGGCGGTTATTTGTGACGGTGAGGAATCAAATTCAAGGTCCTGGGGAGAAGTACATGCTCGTGAAACTTATGGGTATGGAGAAAAAGAAAAGAAAATGGGATGGAACTGCTGTTCCTTGTGCCGAAGGGAGGGGAATGGTGCAGAAGAAAGCATCAATCAATGGTTTAAACAAGCTGCCATTAATAATTTATTTTAATTAGAATGATCAATGGTGATACAAAAAAGAAAATAAACTACTAGAGCTCGGTGAATTTGGCCAAATGGAGACCTGGGAGAGACCGAGGGAGACGCTAAAACCAGCACCGGATCGGATTATATAGGAATTTGGAAAAAACAAAGAATCACAAAATTCCCAAGATGGAAAACCATGAAATATCAGCTATTCATTTTTGTTGATTTTTTTTTACTCCAAGTGATATGGGGAGGGGCTGGGGACCTGGAATAATCAGGTCTGAAACTTACTTTATTGGGTTTCAAACCCTGCCTAGGCGGTTTCGAACTCGACACCTCTCATTAGGCACAATAACTTCACAAACAGCTGGGCTGGAATGCTTGGTTATTTTTGTTGATTTATAAATTGAAGTTTTTTTTGGGGAAAATCGAGTTCTATAATTTTATACACACTTCATTTACCTAATAATATACTGTACATATGTATTACACTGAAATTAAAAATGACACTCTTTTAACTTCAAAAAGGCTAGATATTAGATTTGTTTGTGTTACTATATTTTCTTTTGTTTCAAACGGTTCTTCCTCATTAGAAAGATAAAATCTATATCTATCTATATAATATAAAAAAGCTAACCCTTGGAGAGATCTTTGGAGAAGAAATAGACATGTGGCACCATCTTTTATTAAAAAATGACATGTGGCAACACCATTAAATAAAACCTATTCAACTTCCAAACCCCCACTCATATGTATTGCAATAAAAATTTAGATAAAAATTTATGTATACTACATATAAGTTAATTAGGAGTATTATATGTGTGTGGGTGTGTTGTGTGTCTGTGTTTATATATTTATGCACCACAATGTTGTTTATAGATATAGGCAAAAAATTGTACTTGACAGGTAGCACAAAAATCGCAAATACTCAAAAATTTATACTTCTTTTCCAACAAAATCTTGCGGCTTTTAAAAGGTTGCCTCACGGGTCAATGTAAAAAATACACACGGAAAAGATCTTACAAGTAATTACCCTGAAATAAGTTTGGAGGCCCTGGTCAAATGTAAAATTGAGGCCCCATATTAATATTAAAAAAAACAATCTAATACTTATACTCAAATCAATTGAATACTCATTAAATAATGTATTAAAAAATTTCTAAAAGTGACTTTATACTTGATTTAAAGAAACATGCCTCATTACTCAAACAATTTGAATAAAAGAGAAGTAAAAGGACCGATGGAAGAATGATAGAACTCTATTTTTCTTTCTTACTCACTGTATTTTACCGACAAATTATAATATACTATCGTATGATATAACTATAAATCGAGGGATCTATTTAATACGTAGTACTAATAAATTATTAAAAACTTGGGGACCCATAAATCGAGTGTTCTATTCCGTAGAATCTATTGAACCTCTTAAAAAACTCCTCTCTCTGTACGTAGTAATAAAGGAAATATAAGAAATTAGAATACTAAGCACACCATAGTTGATACGTGTAATTAAAAAATATTATTGAATCAGAGGAACTCATTGTGTAAAAATAAGGTTATAATTAGATCTCTTAAGTATATACGTAGTATTTGTAAACAATGACTACTGATTGTTAAAAAATTATTTTCAACTACAAAATAAAAAATGCAGGAATATTTTATTTGAATGGTTATTATAGAAACAGTAGTTCAACAAAGGGGTTGATGTTAAATAATAAGTACATAATAGCAAATAAATTTCGTAATAAACAAAAAATAATTAAGATAGTGAAAGTCAAAACGAGATGTTTAAATTTTGACCAAATCGCAAGTTGTATAGTCAACCCACAACTTGTGCATGTTGACTCACGAAACCAGTTAGTTAATTATCAGGATATTAAAATGCAATCCACCATGAAACGAGCAAGCCTGATGGAGTTCGACTCATTTTGACATTTGTGTATATATATAGTCAATTGAATTCTCATTTAAACTTCGATTGACGAATTATATGCAATCCACGGTCCCTAAAAATTTAAGAAATAATTTAAACACATATCTTACCGTGCATTGCACGGGTACACACTAGTAACAATATAAAATTCTCAACATTGGCGTGTATTAAATTAATAAATTCAAAAACAACAATCTATTAATTCTAAATAATATTGCATTACACAGAATTGTAGAAACTATTCAACATCTAAACGAACTCGATTTTTGTAATTGAAATTTAGTGTGCTCACTTATTATTTTATTATTTTAAATAGTTATCCACTTCTCTACCTTTCCTTTTTTCTAAATGTCACTAATTCAATTTTGTATTATAATATTTGAGTTGATTGTAATCAACCCCCATTTTTTTCATGAAGATGGCTTATGTGCCATTTTCCTTACTTTTACAATTTTACTTAGAACTAGACGCAATACCCGTGCGATGCACGGGTACATCTAGAACAAAATGACAATTTGTTCAAAATTACCCAAATCAGCTGATTCAATTGAAATTGATGAAGTTCTGGCTGAAGTGGCTGATCAAATCCGCCTAACTATTAAAATATATTTAAATTATGTTTATTAATAAAGTAAGGAAACAATTGTATGAAAATAGTTAAAATGATCTTTTACAATAATTTCAGCTAATTCAGTCAGAAAAGCAACTACAACCTTGCTTATTTTGATTATTACGAACACAATTTGATGTGAAATCAAAAGTTGCGTGTTTGATGAAAATTTAATGACCGAGATTGATAAGTCGAAAAACAGAAGTCATCACTAAATGGACTTTTAGACTACTCTATAAATTCCCCTTTGATGCATAAAAGAAATAATGTGGTTCAATAAATTAAATAAAGTTACTTGTTTACCCAATAATTAATTAGTTAATTAATGTTCATAAATGAAATAAAAGCACATAAGAGTGAATGTTCTTTTAAACTTATTTTGAGTCCGGCCTTGATCTATGATTTTTTTTCTCAAAATAATGTTAAATAAAACTTTTATTTACCAAATTAGAGTCACCTTAAAAGTATTTCCCTAAATACTTCTGGGGTAAATTGAAACATCCACTTTAATTAGTGGCTTAGGAAAAAAACGAAATGCCAATGCAAATCAAAGAGGAAAAAATCAGTCAGGGGTCAAACAAAATAAAATATCACGAAATATACGTGATATTTTAAAGTGCTATAACATTTTCATTTGTACTCTGATTGTTACAATAAATATACGGGAATTGACTTAAATAGGAGTAGACAACTTTTGGAATTCCCGAAATAGAAATTGTTACTCACATGATTGAAAAATACTGTCATTAATTATAATAAATATTGTCATGTTAAATGCTTAGTATTGCAATGATTTGGCAGTCATGACCCGGTGACAGTAAATACTGCCATGTTACTCATATTTCAAGAAGAAAAACATAACAATCCTATTTTGGAATTCCAAATCCTACTTACTCTTGTATATCAAAACTCATAACTTTTCATTATCTTTCAAATGACACTAATATTCAATATATAAAATAATAATAATAATAATTTAACACTTTAAAAACATTTATTTTTAAAGTGCTATAACTTTTTAATTTGTACTCCGATTGTTATAAAAAATATATCAAAATTCAAAACTTTTTATCATCTTTCATATGACACCAATGTTGCATACATAAAAAATCAATTAATTTGTGCACTTTAGGATCATAATATTTTTACCGGAATTTGTAAATAAATTTTTTTGTAACAACCGGAATTTTAAATGATACCAATATTTTTTGAAACAATCGGAATTTTAAAGTTATAGAACTTTAAAAAAATGGTTTTAAGTGTCAAATTATTGTTTTATTTTTATATTTCCAAATTGGTTTCATATGAAAGATAATACAAAATTAGGAGTTTTGGTATATTTTTTGAGAAAAATTCATTAATATTACTTAGTAATTATTGGTAAATAATTGTGCTTAAAATTACATCTTAGTGATTATATGTAAGTTACTACGATTTAAATTTTAAACATAACTATAGAAACTAATATTTACTAAACTTTTAGAATATTTTAGAATATTGGTGTCTTATAGGGCCCATGAGTGATTTCCTAGCAATCGGAGTACAAATAAAAAGTAAGAACACTTAAAAAATGTGATTTTATTTTGATGGGGCCCATGAGTGATTTTCTTATCCTTGACTGTTTTTAGAAACTTGGCCGTTAATCCGTTATCACTTACTCCTTATTGTATTTATTAATGTATTACCAAATTTACTTTTCTCATTGTTATCTCACTTTTTCCCTCCAATTGTTGTCTCACTCTGTTAATTTATATTATATAAAGATAAAGATTATTTATACGTAGTAATTTTTAATAGCAATATATTGTGGTTATTTTTGTGGTGTTGTTATTTTGTATTAACATGCCAAAAAAATAAAGATTTTTTTGCCGCTAAATATTATTGATATTTATTGTCATAGTACGTAGTATAACTTATATAAAAATGTTACTACATTTTACTGTCACAGTTACTATGATATAAGATTAAAAATGATCAAAGTCATTAAAGTTATTATTATATTTATTCGTATAAAAGTCACATCTTTATAAACGGTTGAATACAAATGAATAATAAGAATTAAAAATGAATAATAAGAATTCTTATAAACGGTTGAATACAAATGGAGAGTATCAATGTTTGACATGTATTATACACGTGTGTTTCTATTTGGTTAGTTTGTTCACTATACATATTATTTGAGGCAAGTTAATGAGTAATAAATGCTCCATTATTATAGAGATTTTTTCAAGACATAAATTTGAGCTGAGGCATATACATTCAGTATAGGCGGGAGTATGCATGGATTCTAGGCACACAAATTTACATTTTTGTCCTTCATTTAGGCGGCAATTTTGCCTCCAAAATTGATGGTCACTCTTTTACTTTATATAATATAAAGATAAAGATTGGAATATCAACACTAATGATATGTTTTGAAGGTTTCAGTTTACATGCACGACAATCATAGATATAAATGAGATAGAAGAGTGGGTGAGAGATTAAATGTTACTACGTATTAAATACAAGAAGTCTCAATAATTACAGATCGCGTACGTATATTCAAAGCTACAATGAATTGACAGTGGTCTCCCTTCTCTCTACGAATGATCAAATGCCTATTTT